GTCAACTTAGGTGCGCACAAACCTTTGGGGGAGCATGCCCAAGGTTCGGGTTTAGCAATTTAAAAAATAGCCTTACCAGCAATAAACAGGCAAATGAACTCGTGCCAAAAGAGAAAGAAGACAGATAAAAAAGCAAAGGCCAAAAATAAATCATAACGCCTCGTGGGGGGGTCGAACCCCCGACATTTCGGTTAAAAGCCGAACGCTCTAAGCCAACTGAGCTAACGAGGCCCGGATTCTGAGCCAGGGCGGCTATTTTTTCACATGCGTAGGAAAATTTGGATCATCTTATACAGATGCCCCTTCTTTGGATTACAAAGAAGATTGACGTGTTCTTTTTAACAAAAGGAAGCCTTTGGCCACAACATATACAATGTTGGCCTCTGATGATGATTGAGTCGTTGAATAGATACCCAAGCGACTCAATAACCAAAATCAATCACAAAAGTGATGGGTAGGAGGGGCGATGGATGTGCAAAGCACAGACACTAGCATCGGACTATTTGGCAGCAGTACACTACTGCCAACTAGCCCTCAAGTGTGCCCCTCCAAAAGGAATAAAAGTAGGCAGCCTACGGCGTTGATGAAAGGTGGCCTTGGATGGCAGTGCAATTGCGCCTGGCCCGACGATCGGGAATAGCTTGCTTGGCCACTGCCGCCTTGCGCTCATGCTCACGCTGCTTGGCAATAAGGTCGTTGCAGGCGCCGTCGAGCTGAAGAGCTGTTCCAGCCTCGGGAACCTGGGGTTGGTTTATTTCGCACCGGAATCCGTTAGCTGGTATTTATTTCCAGGGTTGCCTAACAGCTACCTCGCAGGGGGAATAAAACCAGGTTCGTCATCATCATAGTTTTTTTTTTTTACTTGAGCGATGCATGTCGGCTTACTCTCAGAACCTCTGCAATTATTCGATATTAAAAGTGGGTTGGAACTAAGCGGTGAGCAAGATCTGCCGACTCAGAGCTGTTACAAGCCGAGCAACACTATTTGGTGTGGTGCTTGGGCCTCGACTCCTCGCAAGAGGTTGATCATCAGCCCGCTCCGTGTTTCCAAATGAGGAGGAGCTAAGCAAACCCGCTCCTTTGCAAAGCAGAGGGGGGTTCTCAAAGCCAGCAACCTCGTGGAGCAGAAGCGAGCCAGAAGTATCTGGATGTACCACTCATCATTGACGGTATTAGTTCAATTAGAACCCGAAAACCAAGGGGCGGGGTGGGGCGGGACAGCGAGTTGCAAAGTCGGCTGGGTGCTGTGGCGTGATGGGTTATGGCCAATGACGCCCGCAAAAAAAAAATAAATAAATAAAATAAAAAGAGCGATGAGGCAGAGATTTGAAGTGGGAGAGAGTTGGCGTATGCTGTCGGTGTGAACAGTGTTGGGGGCTTACGTTGTTGCATTTGTTGTCTGCGCAAATACCCTATGAAAGCAAGGGCATTGGCCAGCAGTTTCCCCTCCCTTCGATTGAAGTTGTATCGGTGGAGAATAACCGCGCATGCAATAGTGTAGATGTTGAATATTTAGTGCGAGCGCGTGGTTGGAGTATTTGAAAGCAAAGCGAGTTGGCAGCCTATTTTTTTTTAGCGAATGATGCAAGCGGCACAGGCAGTGCAAGTGTGTGCATATATTGCGATTAAAAGTCTGTCCTGGTTCGTGGATGTCCTTAGAGTGTAATTAAAGTAGACTGTTTTATGGACCATGCCTTGTAAGCACGTTTCCTTCACGTCCATCCTTCAAAGCACTGTCGCTGCGCCTTGGCCATTGATCTGTGCGTGCCTGGCAATGACAAAAAAGCTGGGTTTTAATTGGATCTGATCGATTAGCGCCAGCGATTGGAACTTTGTCTTTTTTCGCGACTAAGCCCAAAAAAAAAAA